TGTTCTCATGGTTGTTTTTAAAAGTATAAGTGTAACATTAAAATGAATACATTTTGAAAATGTGAAAAAGATCATTGGTAATCTCATTAAAGAAGCCATTTTTCTCTTCTGCATATGATAATGTCCAGATAATATTTCTATATTATTGTGTTCATGGGATATTGGGAATTTTATATTTGAATGTTCCATGTTCAATTGTGTTTAAACAGTTATATTTTTGTAATTGTTTTTAAAATTAGAATTCATCATTATCATATTTCTCAAAGGTATTGGTGCATCATAACTTACTTAACCAGTTTCTTATTTTGTGGTCATTTGGAATGGTTCAGTTTTTTTAAAAAAAGTCGCAGAATGAATATCACTGATGAATTTCTTCTTTAACTTACAAACTGCAATTAATTCCTTAGGCTAAATTTATTGTATTGAATTTTTTTTCACCCATGTCATGTGTCTTTCTAAAAAAGGATGGTGGTCAATGGCCGTACCACCCTGAAGTACCAGGTCTCATCTAAAAGATTGTGCTCATTTACAGTTAGTCTGGTATTTGGTATCTGAAGATACTGATTTCACCATAACTAACCTATTAGACTTAAAATGACACAAATTTGCTTTCAGTGGCATTATATGATTTTTAGACAGGATAACTTTTAAAAAAATTATGGTAAAATATACTATTTTTATATAAAAATTTTTTATTTATGACAGGAGAATGCATTACAATTCTTATTACATATATAGAGCACAATTTTTCATATCTCTGATTGTATACATAGTATATTCACATCAATTCGTGTCTTCATACATATGATTTGGATAGTAATGATCATCACATTAATTACCCCATGCCCCTTCCCTTCCCCTCCAACCCCTCTGCCCTATCTAGAGTTTGTCTATTCCTTCCATGCTCCCACTACCGATCCCACTATGAATCAGCCTTCCTTATATCAAAGAAAACATTTGGTGGGGTTCTTTTTTTTTGTCTTTTTTGGAACTGGGGGTCGAACCCAGGGCTTTGCGAATGCAAGGCAGATGCTTTGCCACTGAGCTACATCCCAGCCCTCAATGAAAACATTTGGCATTTGGTTTTTTGGGATTGTCTAACTTCACCTAGCATTATCTTTTCTAACTCCATCTATTTACCTGCAAATTCGATGATTTTATTCTCTTTTATTGTTATGTAATATTCCATCGTGCATATATGCCACATTTTTTAATCCATTCATGTATTGAAGGGCATCTAGGTTGGCTCCACAGTTTAGCTATTATGAATTGTGCTGCCATAAACATTGATGTGGCTGTGTCCCTGTAGTATGCTGTTTTTAAGTCCTTTGGGTATAGACTGAGGATGGGGACAGCTGGGTCAAATGGTGGTACCATTCCCAATTTTCCCCAAAATCTCCATACTGCTTTCCATATTGGCTGCACCAATTTGCAGTCCCACCAGTGTATGAGTGTGCCTTTTCCCTGCATCCTCGCCAGCACTTACTGTTGTTTGTATGCATAATAGCTGCCATTCTGACTTTAGTGAGATGAAATCATAGAGTGGTTTTAATTTGCATTTCTCTAATTGCTAGTGATGATGAACATTTTTTCATGTATTTGTTAATTGATTGTACATCATCTTCTGAGAAGTGTCTCTTTAGATCCTTGGCCCATTTATTGATTGGGTTTTTTTTTTTTTTTTGGTGTTTAGCTTTTTGAGTTCTTGATATACCCTAGTGATTAGTGATCTATTGTGATTAGTGATCTATCTGATGTGTGAGGGGTAAAGATTTGCTCCCAAGATGTAGGCTCTGTATTCACAGATTGTTTGTTTTGCTCAGAAGAAGCTTTTTAGTTTGAGTCCATCCCATTTATTGATTCTTGATTTTAATTCTTGTGCCACAAGAGTTTTATTAAAGACGTTGGGGCCTAATCCCACATGATGGAGATTAGGGCTTACTTTTTCTTCTATTAGACGCAGGGTCTCTGGTTGTATTCCTAAGTCCTTGATTCATTTTGAGTTGAGTTTTGTGCATGGTGAGAGATAGAGGTTTAATCTCATTTTGTTGCATGTGGATTTACAGTTTTCCCAGCACTGTTTGTTAAAGAGGCTATCTTTTCTCCAATGTATGTTCTTGGCATCTTTGTCCAATATAAGATAATTGTAGTTTTGTGGGTTAGTCTGTGTCCTCTGTTCTGTACCATTTGTCTACCAGTCTGTTTTGGTGCCTAAATTGTGCTGTTTTTGTTACTGTTGCTCTGTAGTATAGTTTAAGTTCTGGTATAGTGATGCTACCTGCTTCACTCTTCCTGCTAAGCATTACGTTAGCTATTCTGGGTCTCTTATTTTTCCAGATGAATTTCATGATTGCTTTTTCTATTTATATGAGGAATGTCATTGGGATTTTGATCGGAATTGCATTAAATCTGTATAGTTTTTTTGGAAGTATGGTCATTTTGATAATATTAATTCTGCCTATCCAAGAGCAAGGTAGATCTTTCCATCTTCTAAGATCTTCTTTGATTTCTTTTTTTAGGGTTCTGTAATTTTCATTATATGGATTTTTCACCTCTTTTGTTAAGTTGATTCCTAAGTATTTTATTTATTTATTTATTGAGGCTATTGAGAATGGGGTAGTTTTCCTCATTTCCCTTTCTGAGGATTTGTCACTGATATACAGAAATGCCTTTGATTTATGGGTGTTGATTTTATATCCTGCTACTTTGCTGAATTCATTTACTAGTTCTAGGATTCTTCTGGTGGAACTTTTAGGGTCTTCCAGGTATAGAATCATATCATTAGCAAATAGTGCCAATTTGAGTTCTTTTCCTATGTGTATCCCTTTAATTTCTTTTGTCTGTCTAATTGCTCTGGCCATGGTTTCAAGAACTGTGTTAAACAGAAGAGATAAAAGAGGGCAGCCCTGTCTTATTCCAGTTTTTAGAGGGAATCCCTTCAATTTTTCTCCATGTAGAATGATGTTGGCCTGGGGCTTAGCATAGATGGCCTTTACAATGTTGAGATATGTTCCTGTTATCCCTAGTTTTTCTAGTGTTTTGAACATAAAAGGGTGCTGAATTTTGTCAGATGTTTTTTCTGCATCTACTGAGATGATCATATGATTCTTAAGTCTATTGACGTGATGAATTACATTTATTGATTTCCATATGTTGAACCAACTTTGCATCCCTGGGATGAATCCCACTTGATCATGGTGCACGATCTTTTTGATACGTTTTTGTATTCGATTTGCCAGAATTTTTTTGAGAATTTTTGCATCTGTGTTCATTAGAGATATTGGTCTGAAGTTTTCTTTCTTTGATATGTCTTTGCTTGGTTATAGAATCAGAGTGATATTGGCCTCATAGAATGAGTTTGGAAGTGCTGCCTCTTTTTCTATTTCCTGAAATAAATTGGAGAGTATTGGTATTAGTTCTTCTTTAAAGGTCTTGTAGAACTCAACTGTGTATCTGTCCAGTCCTGGGCTTTTCTTGATTGGTAGACTTTTGATGGCGTCTGCTATTTTGTCACTTGAAGTTGATCTGTTTAAATTGTGTGTATCATCCTGATTCAGTTTGGGCAAATTATATGACTCTAGAAATTTGTTGATGCCTTCGATATTTTCTATTTTATGTACAGGTTTTCAAAATAATTTCTAATTATCTTCTATATTTCTGTAGTGTCTGTTGTGATAAAATATACCATTTTTAAATGTGTAGTTTAGTAGTTTTAAGTACATTCTCATTGTTATACAGGCAATCTCCTTGGTTCTTTTCATTTTGCAAAACTGTGACTCTACTCACTAAACACTTAACTTCCCATTACTTCTACTCCCTGCCTTTGGTTACTCTAGGTCCCTCATATAAGTGGAATCCTAAAGTTATTTGTCTTTTTGTGAATGACTTATTTCAATTAATATAATGTCTTTAGGGTTTATCCCTATTGTAGTAGTGTCAGAATCTTTTTCCTTTTTGAGACTGAATAGTTTTCCATTGTACATATGTATATATTTTGTTTAACTGTTCATCTGTCAGTGGACACTGGGGTTGCTTCCATCTTTTGGCTATTGTGAATAATGCTATTATGAACATAGGTGGACAAATATGTCTTTGAGATCCTGCTTTCAATTCTGTGGGTTTCTGCTCAAAAATAGAATCTTTGGATCATACGATAATATTTTTGTGAGGGACTGTCATACTGTTTCCCATAGTGACTTCACCAATTTACATTGCACCAAGGTTTCCACTTTCTCCACATCCTTGCCAGAGCTTGTTATGTATTTATTTTAAAACTACAGCTATCCTAGTGAGGTGGAATTTGTCTCCTTATTAGACAAGATAACTTTTTCAGGTGTTCACTGCTTACATTTTCTTTTGTAACATATCCTTCTACCTTAGTCCTTTCCTTACAAAATGATTATTGAACTTTAACTTTGGGTGTTGCTTTTGCAAAATTTACTATGAGGCATATATTTTATATATTGGGATTTTAAGTTTCTTTTGGGATATGGGGTAATTTGTAATGGTCAAGAGGAGGGAGAACTCATAATACACAGAAAAGACAGAGGTAGAAAAAGGTTTCAGAAAGGGAGGAACAGTGGAGACTAAGTATCAAAGATGGATTCTGTCTGACATACTATTCTGTCCTTCCCTATTATAATTAATGTGTTGTAAGGATTATAGATTTCACATTGGAGAAACTGTAAAGATGTCTTTGAATATTAGAGGGAATTCTGTGTTTACATACCCAAGCACTTTTGTGAAACTTATAGAAATGCCATACATTTGTCTTTATATTTACATGTTTTGTATGTATGGACAATAAGAACATTGGGGGCTGGGACTGTGGCTCAGTGGTAGCTCACTTGCCTTGCATGTGTGAGGCACTGGGTTCAATTCTCAGCACCACATATAAATAAATAAAGATCTATCAGCAACTAAGGGAAAAATATTAAAAAAAATAAGAACATTGGACAATAAATCTGATGTTATTGAACCTTTATTTCAAGACTATAAACAGAAATACATGCTGCTTATTTTTTTTGTAAATGCTTCTTAATGTTTCCTGTGCTAATGATTTTTTTTTTTAAAAAAATTATGTCATTTGATATTTTTGTTTGAATCTAGATGGGCCTAGATGCCTGAATATTCTGTTTCCCTTGAGTTCTTAATTTTGGAAATGAGATCATATTTATATTTCCTTGTTATGACTAGAAAATCTCTTTTCTTTCCATATTTGTATGTTTATTTGCATGTGGCTTTGAAAAATCAAAAAAGAAAGTTTAATTCTACATGAAAACTGTGTTTAAAAACTCAAAATGTGTTAATTTGGAAATTAGGATATGTTCAGTTATATTGTACTATGTAGGGTCTAATTTAATTCATACTAGGGGTCATCTCAGTTGTCATCCAGTAACTAATTTTATCAATATGTGTTTAATTCCATTTTGTCTTGGTAGTATGGAAGGAGGCTGATTACCCCTGTATATAGTAATGGCACTGTACCTCTTACATATTAGGTACTTAAGAAATCTTGTATTATTATTAAATCAAGATTATTTCTTTTAAAATACACTTAGTGTATTCAGTAAACACATTAAAATTTTTCAATGTTGTGAAGATAAATTGGGACATTATTATTTCCTGTGTTTATGGAGCTTACATTGCACACATATTTATGACACTTTCCCCTGATCTACAGAGTTGATGAGAAATTTCTTCCTGCTTTTTATAAGCAAAATGAATTGCCCTTTGATAAAAAAATTTTTAAAGACTGGTTTTCCACAAACTGTTGACTTAATTACATGAATACAGATATTTTTGTTCATAAACAATTGCTATCATTACATCTTCTCTTAGATTATGTGAGGGAAGGATGATGTCATCCACAAATATATAGTTTGTGTTTCCAAAACTAACAATTTCAGGATATTTTACTTTGATCTCTCTCTCTGTCTCTCCTCTTACCCCAACTTTTTTTTCTCTGAAGGAAAGACCTATGAAGATATTAGCGACATTAGCTTTTACTAATGTTCATTTCTAAATGAAGTATTAGAATTGACTGTAAAAATACCTGAACATTATTTGGACAGAAAATATTATAGATTTTAGGCATAGGAAATATGTAGATAAAAAAGTCCACATTTTTTTTTATAATCAACATGTTATATTTTATGTTGTTGAATTTGTAGAAATTGATTTTCAGCATTCTAGAACAAAGTGTTTATGTCCTGCCTCTATAATTTAAGTGGAATAACAAAGAAATGAAGTCAGTTTACTGGTTTATTAACCCAAAAGAGTTAATAATAGATTTGCAATGTAATATTCAGTAGTCTTTTTACTATTTGCAGGCCATTTGTCATCTTGAATATTTATAGATTATTTTTTGTCACAAGAGATGTGGCCTCTCACATATTTTTCCTTCTCATTTATCTACATGTTCTGAACAAAATGACAGTAGTTTAATTCTAAAATGCATTTCCAGGAAAGCCAAAAAAGTTTTCTGAAAAGTGGGTGAAAAACAAAGTCTGATATACTGCCAAGATGAAAAGATACTGAATTGTTATTTATATGATCAAAAGAATTTATAGATATAGAACACAGTGCAAATATCCTGATCTGTGTTTATTGCATAAAAAAGATGTTGATGAAATATTTGAAAATGTAAAAGTACATTAGTGCCAATAGATTATGTATAATAGTACTTTATTTTTGTAAAATCAAAACCAAAAAAGTACCTGGATCAGTCTAAAAGGTTAAATAATGCTTATCACTATTCTTTTAGCTTATTTTCAGATTCTTATTTTTTCACAGTGGAATATGCTTTACTTTTGAAATAAGAAAAACTATTAAATACATACTGACAAAAAGAGAATGAAGTCCAATTAAGTTAGCTTTACAATTCTTTAAGATTTTAAGTTGTTGTTTTGAATGTTTATAACATTGCATGCAGTAGTACTATGATTTTCTTTTAGTAGTACTGATTTTCTTTCTTTCTTGTACTTCTCTACATTTAGGGCTAAACAAAAATGTTCCACTGAACTTGTTCATGCTTTTTTTTTGTACAGGGTTGGAACTCAGGGGCACTTAACCACTGAGCCACATCCCTAGCTCATTTTATTTTTTATTTTGAGACAGAGTTCTGCTAAATTGCTTAGGGCCTTGCTAAGTTGCTGAGGCTGGTTTTGAACTTACTTTCTTTTCTTTTTTGTTTTTTTGGTACCCAGGATTGAACTCAGGCCACTAGATCACTGAGCTATATCCCCAGCCCTTATTTAGAGACATGGTCTCACTGAGTTCCTTAGTGCCTCACTTTTGTGGAGATTGGCTTTGAAATTGCAATCCTCCTGAGCCTCTGTGATTATAGGGATATGCCACTGTATCTGGAGATATGCTTTTAGGAAGTGAATGAGAGAAAGAATACAAATGAGATCAAACCAGTCTTTTCTTTCCCTATTTTTGTTTTTTCTTTTAATGAAGAGGAGAGTAGGTAAAAGATTTCTTTCCTCTGCCTACTTAGTTTTCCTTACTCATTTTCTGTTATTGATCACTTCCTGCTATTAATTCCTTTTCATCTGACAAGAAGTTGATTTTCTGCCCTGTATTTTCATTTGGAAAAGGTAGATGGTCTGAGTTGAAGAGTCCATTTAGATGGAGAGTAGATCATGCTTGATTTCCAGTGACTGAATTTCTCTGGTCTTGTCTCATTCTTGTTCTCTCACACACATTGTCCCTTGTGTCCCACTGTGGGAATGCTTAATTTGGAAGTGAGAGGCAGGAAAAGTAAGTTAACAGTTTTTGGGGTTAGCCAAAAGTTCATGGTTTTGGGGGTAGTCATGAATAACAAAAATACCAATGTAGGAAACGAGATTAAGGTAAAACATTTTCTGTTACAGCTATTTGCAGGCAGAGCATTTCAAGGGTAACTACAACATTTCTTGTCCACCAGGCCATATTTGATCTCTGACATGTGTGTGTATAGGCAATAAGTATTTTTTTTTTTTTTGAGAGAGAGAGAGAGAGAGAAAGAGAAAGAATTTAAAAAATATTTTTATTTTTTAGTTTTCGGTGGACACATCTTTATTTTTATGTGGTGCTGAGGATTGAACCCAGTGCCCTGCGCATGCCAGGCGAGTGTGCTACCGCTTGAGCCATATCCCCAGCCCAATAAGTATTTTTTTTTAAGCACTTGACTCCAGTTACTGAGGAAAGTTTTGGATTTATCCTTGCCTGTTTCAGATAAAGTGAGAAACTATGGGTTTTTAACAAATATATAATGACATTTGAGTAATTTCATTGCTCTAAAAATCTCCTATGATCAAAGTATTCATCCCTTTTTCTTTCTTCCCAAACCCCTGGTAACCTTATTTTACTATTTGCACAGTTTTAATCCTTGCAGAATGTCATATAATTGGAATGATACAATATGTAATATGTAGTCTTTTCTGGCTTCATCCACTGAACATTGTACATGTAAGGCTCCTCCATATCTTATTTGTGGCCTTGATGGCTCATTTTCTTTCTACTGCTAAATAATATTCCATTGTATGGATATACAACAATTTTTTGTTTTTTAATTTTTTTAATCCATTCACCTCTGTAGTGACATCTCTGTTGCTTCCAACTTTTGACAATTACACATAAAGCTGCTAAACATTCATGTGCATGTTTTTGTGTGGATATAAGTTTTCAACTCATTTGGATAAATAAAAATTTCAATTGCTAGGTCATCTGGTAGAAGTAAGTTGAGTTCTGTAAGAAATTGCCAGACTGTTTTCTAAAGTGACTGTACCATGTTTCAGTACCACTAGCAAGAAATGAGTTCCTGTTGTTCCATATCTTCACCAGCATTGATATAATTTAGGTTTTTGAATTTTAGCTGTTTTAACAGTTGTATAGTGGTATCTCATTTTTGTTTTAATTTGCATTTCCCTGTTGACATGTGATATGGAATATTTTTTCATAATGATACTTGCTATGTGCATATCTTTTTTAGTGATATGGACTTTTTTCTTAAAACCAAAAGGTAATCCCGTTTTTATAAAAAAAATAGTAAATAGTAAATTATATTCTCTGTAGAAAATATAGCAAAAAGAATACATTAAAATATACACAATACAATTGCAAAAGTGACCAGTAAAAAAAATAATACATTAAAAATTCCTATATAATGCCACCATTCAGAGGAATAATCACTTGTAACATTTTGTCTGTTCTCCTCTCCCCCCATGTATGTTGTGTGTGTGTTGTGTGTATAGCAATAGTGAACTCATAATATTTTTTATCTTTCATGTTTACTTATCCATGTATAGTTTTCCTATGCGTTCTTTTAGAATAAGGATTCTTAACTCTGCTGAATGTTAGGATCATTTGGGGGAGCTTTTAAAGCTTGTGATGCCCAAACGGCACTCTAGGACAGTGAAGTCAGAATCCAAGAGTGGGTAGGCTTCAGATGTCCCTCAAGACAAGGTCACTGTCCATGAAGGACATAGTTTAAGGCAGTTTCTCATCTCAGCCCTGTTGACCTTTTGGAAGATAATTTCTGTGTGTGTATGGGGTGGGAGCTGTCCTGTGAATTGTAGAATATTCAGTGGCATCTTTGGCCCCTACTCACCAGATCCAGTATTACTCCTACTCTAGTTGTCATAAAAATGTCTTCAGACTTTGACAAGTGCCCTGGGGAGGGACATTTCTGCTCCACACTGGTCTAGCATAGTGATCTGCAAATTTCATTTTTTTGGGTTATATTTAGACACACATTTGTATGTATATTGTATATGGCAGATATAATAATGGAGTTGAATAGCTAAAACAGAATCTATATGGTCCTCCAAGTAGAAAACATGAACTACCTAGCTATTATAAAAAAGGTTTGCTTACCCCGAATCTGCACGGAAAAGTGACTGGTAAATAGTTCAATCCAGTGGGATATGTGTTCTGGAAGACTCAGTTATAGATATGTGTTATAGCTGTGAGGAGAGAGGGAACAACTAATTAATGCCCTGAAAAAATTGAGACTTCTCTAAGATGACAAAAAATAGATCTTGAAGATCTGAGTAGGGAAAACAGGGAAGTTCCTGAAGGCAGAGGGCATGGAGTGTGCAGAGGCAATGGCATGTTCAGGAGATGGAGTAAAGAATCCTTGTCCACTGCACGTAACTGAAGTGGTACTGGCAGGGAACTTCAGGACACAGGTCTGCAGTGATAGATTGGGACCAAATTATAAATGAGGCCAAATTTTGTGTTACAGGGTTTAGACTTACGTGTGTACAAATGGGAAGCCAGTACATTTTTAGAAAGGAGACCAATTAAAATTACCAATTTGTGGTTTGAAAGATTTTTCCAGATGGTACTCTTAAGTTGCTTTTTTCTCCAGTTTCCCCAACTTCCTATTGGAACCTGCCTTGCCAACTGCAAATTGTGTTTACCATTATTATGCTGCTTCTACACACTTCTTGGTTATGAGCTCCTAGAGTGTAATTCTCCCTACCTACTTACCATATACTAAATGCTCAGTGAATGCTTGTTGAATTGATGTGAACTTTACTCCCCAGATCCTAAAGCCTATTTTATCCTCCACCCAGTGTTGTGCTGGTAAATATTTTAACCACCAGTTCTCCTAGGGTGTGGAAGGGGCAATACCCCGGTTTGTAATGTTTGCTAATTTCCTGTGGTATAAAAACACCCACCATGGGCTATTAACAGCCAGCTTGCAATATTCTGAACATTTAAAAAATTGGCTCTTGTAAGCTAGTACAAGCCAGCTCCTAGCACATCACTGCAAAGAATTTTGAAGAGATAAGTACAATGAGATAACCAGATCTCTCATGTGTTTAGGTTGACATGTAAAGTGTTTCATTTTAAGTTTAAATTCTGTAGTTACAGAAGATGATATTTTGGTATATTTGTAAGTATTGACACTTCAAAGTAAAATTCTTACATCACTCATTTAAATTAGAAATAGAAGTAAATTTCCCTAATCTGATAGAGTATCTACAAAAGGCCTAACAAGCATAATTTTATGTTGGAAGATGTTGAAAATAACTCCTTTAACATAAAAAATTAGAAAAGTATGCCTCTTAGAACCACTTCTATTTAAGGTTGTATTGATGATGCTAGCCAGTGCAATAAGACAATTAAGCAGATTAGAAGCATAAGAATTGTAGGGAGGAAATGAATTGTACTCAATTAGAGATGATATAATTGTTAATGTAGAGAAAATCAAAATTTACAGATAAGTTATTAGACAGGAAGATGTTAATATAATTACACACAAAACTAATATACAGAAGTCATTTGCATATTTGCATACCAGTAGTGAGGAGTGGGTTAAAAAGACTGTGTTTCCAATTGTATCATAAAAAATAAAACAGAAATAAATGTAATGAAAGATATTTAAGAATTTTAAGGGGAAACAACAAAACTTTAAAAAGAGAAAAATTGAGAAATATACTATGTTTTTGGACAAAAAGACTTTGAATCTTAAAAATAATCTCTCTCTGTTTGACATACAGACCAATTAAATTCAAATCACAGTTTTCAACAAGGTTGGTAAAGCTTGGAAATTATTAGGGGATTCTAAATTTTATTGGAAGGGATGTAAAGGTCAAAGGCCTAGAATAATTAGGTCACTTCTGAATAATATGAAAGGGAGAATTTTTCTCTATCAGTTATCAGAACTAATTAAGTTATGGTCAAATTAACAATGGGATGTAATGTGTTTAGTGTTCCAAAATGCAAATGTAATATATTTTCTTATTTATCTCATCCTTTAAGATTACCATTTTGAATGAACTTAAATATGCATAATATTACTATATATATATCTTTTATAAGTAAGCATATATAGAATCAGAATTTAACTGTATTTTAAAATAATTTCAGACCTAGCAAAATGTTGCAAGAGTAGCTTAGACAATTCCCATATAACCCAGATTTCCCAAATATTAACATTTTGCTACATTTTCTTTCTCATTCTGTATTAATATTATTTTGTTGTTATTTTCTGAACAATTATAGAGTAAATTGAAGTATTTACTCCTAAGTACTAAAATCCAGGATGTTCTATTATGTAACTACAACTGCATGGACATAGTTAGGAAACTAACATTGATAATCTATAGAATGTATTCACAAATCACCCATTCTCCCCATGTCCCATATTTTCCCTCTCCCCTTTTTGGTCCACAGTGTAATTTGAGATCTATCCTGATTCTCTGTTATCCTTTAATCTGTGATACTTCCTTAGTTTGTTTAATTTGGCATTTTAAAGGGTAGAACTCGGTTAACGTTTATCAGAGTATGTGGTCAAATATTTTTACCAATGCAACATGATAGAACAATGAGAAAAGAATTAGAGAAACAAGAAAAAGCTATTGATTGCTTTAGTTCCAGAAACTAAAAATTAATAGTGGTGAAACAGTGTGTTCAAAGTGATTGCTTTAGTTCCAGAAACTAAAAATTAATAGTGGTGAAACAGTGTGTTCAAAGTGATTGCTGTGTGATTTTTGTTTACAAAACCATTACTATATCATAGAGCCAGGAGGTGATACAGCTGAAATAATGGAGATATGAATTTTAGACCTTCCTTTCTTTACTGATCGGATATGAGGATAGAGTTGATTGAGGGAAGATGTCCTGAATATCCCCTTTCTTGAATGGAAAGAAAATACTGGGAGAGAGCAAAGCTAGCAGAAGTTCATCTTTTAGGATTGGGAGGGTAACTCAATGGTAGAACACTTGCTTAGCAAGCAGGCCCTCAGTTTGATCCCCAGCACCACCAAAACATAAATAAATAAAAGAGAAAGTTACCTTTCAAAATATTTTGAAATGCTTTAAAAAATATTTTCTAGCATAGAAGAAGTAATTTCCCAGGAGACAGAAACATGATGGGAAAATAGTGTTATTTAACACCTATTACATGTTCAGAACTGCCCTAGGAATGGGGCAAGGATAGAATTGGGGAAATTGACTGGAGTGAGATGACATCTTAGGTAGTTTTGATTTGCATTTCTCTAAATTGCTGGGGATGTTGAATATTTGTTCATATTTTTGTTGACCGTTCATATTTCTTTTTCTGTGAAGTGTCTGTTCAGTTCCTTAGCCCATTTATTATTGGGCTGTTTGTTTTTTTAATGTTAAGGTTTTTGAGTTCTTTATATATCTTGGAAATTAATGCTCTCTCTGAGGTGTGGGTGGCATTTCTCCCATTCTGTAGGTCCTCTCTTCATGTTCTTGTGTCCTTTGCTATAGAGAAGCTTTTTAGTTTGATACCATGTCCTCCTCCCCTTTGGTACTGGGAATTAATCCCAGGAGTGCTTAACCAATGAGTGACATCCTCAGCCCTTTTTTTGTATTTTATTTAGAGACAGGGTCTCACTGAGTTGCTTAGGGCTTTGCTAAATTGCTGAGGTTGACTTTGAACGCATAATCCTCCTGTCTTAGTCTCCCAAGCCGCTGGGATTACAGGCATTCACCACCACTCCTGGCTCTATTTATTGATTTTTTAAAATTTTGCTTCTTCTGCTTTAGGAGTCTTGTTGAGGAATTTGGTTCCTAAGCTGACATGATGGAGATTTGGGCCTACTTTTTCTTCTAGTAGGCACAGGGTCTCTGGTCTAATATTTAGGTTCTTAATCTACTTTGAGTTGAGTTTTGTTCAGAGTGAGAGACAGGGGTCTAATTTCATTTTGCTACATATGGATTTCCAGTTTTTCCAGCACCATTTGTTGAAGAGGCAATCTTTTCTCCAGTGTTTATGGCACCTTTGTCTACTATGAGATAACTATATTTATGTGGATTTGTCTCTGTGTGTTCTCGTCAGTACCATTGGTCTTCGTGTCTGTTTTGGTTGCCAATACCATGCTGTTTTTGTTACTATAGCTCTGTAGTATAATTTAAGATCTGGTATTATGATGTTTCCTGTGTTTCTTGTTGAAGATTGCTTTGGCTGTTCTTGGCCTCTTATTTTCCCCAATGAATTTCATGACTACTTTTTCTGTTTCTATGAAGAATACTATTGGAATTAATAGGAATTGCATTAAATCTGTATAGTGCTTATGGACATTTTGACAATATTAATTCTGCCTATCCAAGAACATGGGAAATCTCTCTATCTTCTAAGGTCTTCTTAGTTTTTCTTTAGTGTTCTGTAGTTTTCATGTAGAGATCTTTCAGCTCTTTTGTTAAATTGATTTCCAAATATTTTTTTTCCCTGAGCATTGTGAATGGGATAGTTGTCCTAGTTTCTCTTTGAGTTGATTCATCACTGATGTATAGGAATGCAGTTGATTTCTGCATGTTAATTTTATCTCCTGCTACTTTGCTAAATTCATTTATGAGTTCTAGAAGTTTTCTGGTGGAGTTTTTTTGGTCTTCTAAGTGTAGAATCCTGTCAGCAAATAGGGATAGTTTTGAGTTCTTTTCCTATTCATATATATCCCTTTTAATTTCATTCTTTTGTCTAATTGCTCTGGCTAGAGTTTCCAGGACTATGTTGAATAGAAATGGTGAAAGAGAACATCCCTGTTTTGTTCCAGTTTTTAGAGGAAATGCTTTCAATTTTTCTCCATTTAGAATGACATTGGCTTTGGGTTTTGCATGTATAGCTTTTACAATGTTGAATTATGTACCCATTTTCCCTAGTTTTTCTAGTGTTTTGAACATGAATGAATGCTGTATTTTGTCAAATGCTTTTTCTGCATTTATGGAGATAATCATGTGATTTTTGTCTTTGAGTCTATTGATGTGATGAATTGTGTTTATTGATTTCTGTATGTTGAACCAACCTTGCATCCCTGGGATAAGCCCCACTTGATCAAAACCAAAGTTTTGATTTGAGATTTCAAACTTGGTCTTTGACCTATATGATTCTTTCTTTAATTTAATTTGCAAGTGCAGATATGCTTTTTAAAGATAATGAATAGTTGGGATAGTTGCCCTCTTTTGTCTTTTATTTACAGGTTTTTTCTTTTTTTCCTGTCGTGGGTTCATAGATCTCTTAAATTAACACCCAAATGGAGTATTCATTATGAGTGGATATATATATATATATGTTCATATGTTGTAGCATCTCTTCTCTGAGAAGCTGAAAACTTCGCCCTGAATTTTAAAACTACGTTTTTACAGAGAAACCTTGCTGGTAGAGAAAGCAGGACTTTGTTTTACTTCTAATCCTCGTTGATTCACTGTGTACCGCACTTGTCCAATTGAAAAACGGGAAAACAACAAGTAAGCCTTTAACTGTCAGAAGGAGAAAGAAGCTGCCTTTGATTTGCTGTGGGATCCATTACTTTATGCTATGTTAAAAATTTCACAATAATAAATGGGAAGGAAAGAAAAGCAGGAAAGTTGGTGATACAGAATATGGTGATTCTCCACTAAGTATTATGTTTATTAACATGGGATTGCTTTCCATCTCCTAAGGTCTTCTTTAATTTCTTTGTTGTTCTATAGTTTTCATTGAAGAGGTCTTTCACCTCTTTTGTTAGATTGATTCCCAAATATTTTATCTTTTTCAAGGCTATTGTGAATAGGATAGTTTTACTAATTTCTCTTTCAGATTATTCATTGCTGATGTATAGGAATGCAGTTGATTTGAGTTAATTATGTGGGTTTACTTTGAGAAGGTCTGCTATGTAATAAATGGAATGTATAACAAGGCTTTCAAATATTTATTTATGGTTTTTCTGTTAAAAACTATATGACAGAGATAATGGTTATGCTTGTTCTAGAATTCTCTGGTCCATGCCTCTGGCATTGAGAACAATGAATTTACTAACTCCTTTGAGAATTTCTAGTGTGCACGTGAACTTAGACTTCTATTCATGTACTGAGATGTCAGAGGTGTGTGTGTGAGGAGGAGGACAAGTAATTTATAGGATGTTTTTTAGACACCATATCTTTTATGCAAATCTGGGAGCTTGGAGTTAGCAAGATAGATTTTTATTTTTACCCATATTTTATTTTCTGCTTCAAATATGAGGTTTTTGAGAAATTGGAAAAAAGTATTAAGGCTTTCGACAGTGCAGGATATTTTGGTTTCTACTTAAAAACTTGCACATGGCATCTGTGATCCCCTGTATGAATTTATAGCAGAGCACTTTAATTCTCCTGTCATGGCTTTTGTGAGACAGTGTTTTTACTGTGCTTAGTGATTTACAGATTATTCAAATTTTGTTTTGTTTATAGCTAGTTAATGCTTTGCAAAATAATACATTTTGGACTGAAATCACATGTGCTGAAATCACTTTGAATTCATCTTTTCAAGAAGATAGAGCCTTTCCTTTCATTGCTTCTTATTAACTGCTCTCGAGCCTCCATGGATAGCTAGGCAAAGCATTTATTTCTCAGAAGTTGAACTGTGTTCGTGTTTGAGCTTTCAGAAAGCAAAAATGCAATAAGCTCTTGATGATGAAACCTGTTGGATTTCTGGTGGAAGCAGTTGGAGTCTTTGGCTTGTTAACTAGCAATGATTCAAGTCTTGCAGATTGTAAAGGAGCTGGTGACACCATCAAGGCAAAAAGCAGCGACAGTGAAGGAAGGTAGGAACATCAGCAGAATGAACAATCTGAGCACTTTAAGGCACTCAGAGATTCTGATAAGTATTACCTAAAGAACAGCTATAAAAAAGGAATTTTGAGCTTTCGTGTATGCTTTTGCTTTTCTGATGTATCATGGTATTTGAAAAGGTAATAGCATAATTGTTAGCATGATTCATTATTCCTGTTTTAAGCCAAAAATTAGACATATTTTATTAAAAGGTACAGAGAATAAGGGGAGCTTGGGATATTGCTACTGCAACAGTTTTTTACGTTGTAAAGATCCTCTTGCATTATGTGTTTTGGTAGCAAAATAATATTTGTATAATCATTTTTTCTATTAATTTTAAAATATTAATTTTCATAGCAGAAATTAGAAGGGAACAAGCAAGGATTCTGCCTATAGCAAGACAGAAGAACTAGATTGTTCTTATTTGTGTGAGTAACTGATAAAATAATAGTAATAAATAAGAACTTAGCCAATGAATGCCATTTTTAGTTGAATAGTTAATCTCTTTAGTTTATGATTAGATGCTTAATCAATGCCATTTATATTGGCTTGTTAACTAGCAATGTTGTATTTGTAGCTTGTGTCTGGTATGTGCTGAAATATGTTACAAATTTTGGGAAATTACTTGTCTGACTTACAGATATTAAAATGAGCTAATAGATACCTTTGAAGAAATACTTATATATTTTTCTTTTTAAACATATGAAATAGTCTCTGAAATGACAATTAGGAATTGATTTAATTGACTTTCAAAAAATGCAGGCTATTAGCTAAGGTGATAATAGTGGCAGTTTCACTAATTTAATCTATGGTTTAAAGTTATTTGGTTGATAAATTTATGTATTAGCATTTTCATATGTAAGAATATAATGCTTTAGGGCTGGAGCTGTAGCTCAGTGGCAGAGCGCTTGCCTGGCATGTATGAGGCACTGGGTTCGATCCTTAGCACCACATAAATGACTAAACAAATAAAGGCATGCTCTGCATCTACAACTATATATATATAAAAAAAGAATATAATGCTTTATATGTAAGGATTCTATCTTTATATGGTTTGAGGAGCATAAATATACCTCATGTATGATACAAAATATAGATTATTTTAGGTTTATTCTTTAACATAGTATGATCAGTATTTTAAAATAAAGCTTATGAGATTCCTTAACGTCCCATGTAAAAAATGATTTAGGATGATGGTCTGAAACAATATCCTAATATACAGTATGCTGAACCATATGCAGACTGTTAGAGCTGAAAGAGACCTTAGACTGTTGTTCTTGGCTGTTTTTAAATTTTATGGAAGAACATGGTATTTAAATGAAGAAATGGAAATACTATATCATTGTTTACCTTTGGAAATTTGACAGTATTATTTAGGTTGCTTTATAATTATTTATTTCCTGTTTTCTACTATATTTCTCCTCCCCTTTCTTTAGAAGTAGACTACATTCCTGGGTCTAAATCATAACATTCTAACAATTAGGCATTTTAAGAAAAGCTTACTACTTTTCAGTATTTCAGGAGGATACAAATTAGTTAAGGTAATTTCAAACTGTTTGAAAATACCAAATTCATACAGTTTGACTTTTATAGTCAGAATTTTTTATTGGACTGTTTCTTTTTTTTTTTTTTCAGTAACAATCACAGTTACTTGGAATGTAGCCAGGGAAAAGAATATTATTATTTTTTTCCTTTCAAAGTATGTGTATCTCATAGGACAGGTAATACTATACAATTATGGAAAAAATATTACCAAAAGATACTATATAGTAAAATGATAACATGGCTTTTTTTCCTCAGGTTTTTTTCTAATTTGTTTCAGATGGAATTTTCTGTGAATGGGGAAAACAGAAGAAGCTTATGCAAAGATTTTTTTTTTCTTATTCATAAGTGTGTTTTTTCAAACCTCTTCTAATAATATTCTTAATCATTCAGTTAATTTTCTATTTTATCCTTTTGTAATTTGTAATACTGATAACTTCTTTGAGCAAAGTCAGGTCATGCAGACAAATATAAAATATCCAAAATAAAGAGACTTTTTATCTCAGTTCTTTAAAATATGGTGTGGATTTGGATGGATGTAGAGAAAGTACAACATTTTCAAATATTCTACTCACAGTGATAGTAGTAGGTAGTCTGGAAAAATTGATATATGAAGGGGATATTATCCTAAACTATGAAAGTTGGGGTTTAAGAGGTTTTCATTAATTAGTTTTCTTTGGTATAGTCAACAGATTTATTGTGGGACTGAAGTCTAGTTTGGGAATTTTGGGGGGAAATTAAGAAGTGAATGAATGAATGAATGAACAAGCAAACATACATTTATTAAGACAACCTTGTCTTAAGAGTGTTTGCAGAGCTAGGGCAGAGGTATCTAGTTGGTTTGTATGTTTTGACATGAGACCATCATGGGCAAAGTTAGAATAATTTAGTCTTGTGGACTAGGGAAAGGGATGAGATGTGCTGAATGGAATATAAATTGTCGCAGTTTTCCTCTCAAATGTCCTCATTATTGTTCATCTCTAGGGCTAAGCTCTACTAGATCGGCAAAGTGGGAACACTCACTTTTGAGCAGACTGAAAAGTAAATTAACCACATAGTCTCTTCAGATGTACACAGGCATAAATATAATCATTGTAACTGTGTATTTCTAAGGAGCTTAGTTTTCTCCTTCAAAAGATTCATGTTTATTTGGATAAAATTCTTTTGAAAATAGTATACATCTCCCTAGTTTGTCAAAGCAGAAGTGTGCTGAATATGATTGAATGTTTTAGTGATTCAAATTATTCATTTTATATTAGATGGCCAAATTTATTAAAATTATTCCAAGAGTTGATTTTGAATGAGGCCCTGATGTTATCTCCTGATAATAGAACACAAGGACACATGAGCTTGGTTGTCTTCCCTGACCTTTTCATTCCCAATGTTAATTCCTTATCACCTCTCTTCTAGATTATTATAGTAACTTCCTCTTTCACTTCATCTGATAAACTTGCATTGAACATAATACACCTTAGATGCAAGGGTGTAAACGAGTATCCTCAAGAAAACTCAATATGAAGTAGTCAGAGACAAAAGTAATTACAATAATATGATAGGTGTTGCAATAGAGCCATGCGAATTCCCAGAGGCATAACTCTCTTCTGACTCTAGTTTGATAATGAGGGAAGTGAAAGAATCTGATTCTCAAAGGATGCACAAAGTTTAGCTAGCTTGTAGGTGGCGGGTATTTGAGGTGTATAAGCATCCCAAGGGAAAGAGTATTTATTTATTTGGGTACTGGGGATTGAATCCAGGGGCTCTTTACCACTGAGCTACATCCCTAGCTTTTTATTTTTTTATCTTTTTTTATTTTGAGACAGGGTCATGCTGAGTTTCCTAGGGCCTTGCTAAGTTGCTGAGGCTAGCCTGAAACTTGTGATCCTCCTGCATCAGCCTCCCTAGTTGCTGGTTTTACAGGCGTGTACCACTGTACTCAGCAAAATTGCATGTTTTTAAAAAGTTATGGAATTAAGAGAGGGAAAATATATTGGAAAATCTGCAGGTTGTTAAATCTGACCAAAAAAAGTAGATGAGGGCTGGGGAATAGTGGTGGAGATGGTGTTAGAGGGGATCTCAGGTGCCCGCACATGAAGAGACCGTGTAAATACCATGTAAAGAAGTTTGGAAATACTCTTATTAGGGTGGTATGGGAGGAGGTGAGAGCAAGACTAGTCATTTGACCCTACGCTCCATCTTTCCTTTCCTGTCTGAAATAGCTTTATGAATCAACCATAAAATCTAGAATTTGGACTTAACACTGTATATCTAGACATGTCACTAGATCTCTCCATACACCTTTGTGCCAACTGCATCAGAATGCTTCATTTGCTTCCCAAATGGCTGCCCCATCTGCATGGCAAGCCCTGACCTTCCAGAGCAGTTACAGTTATTTGCCAGATTGGATTTTGAGGCTCAAATGCCACCCCCACATGGGTTGTTCTGGATCAGAATTAATCATTACTTTCATTGTAATCTCAGGACTTTGCTTTTGCCTCTATTCCTACACCTTTTAAATTCTGAATTGACCAGCAAATGTCAATTAAAATACATGTTTTGTCATACTGAATGTTTTTGCTTCCATTCTGTTTTTACCCATGTTTTATATAATGTTCTTATAAAATGATCTTAGATAAATGGAATAGAGCTAATAAACAGTGAACAGAAAGATATGTAAAATGACTCCTTTGACATACTTTGTAATGGGCAGATAGTATATTTTGGCTTCAGTTTAAAATGTATTTATATTTTGCTTCAGATATTGACTACTTGATCTTGAAACACTGAAGTTATAGCATCTTTTATACTTTATTTAGTTGTAGTTATGTAATTCTTTATGATTTGCAAAGCATATCTTGCTCTTGACCCAAAACGATGATGCTATGATAAAAAATATTTAACGAGAATTTGAGAATTTGACTGCATATGTAGATACGATTGCCAGTAGTATAGTATCCATTTTCTTTTATTTTTATTTTTAATTTATTCTAATTAGTTGTACATGACTGTAGATTGCATTTTAGACACAGTGTACACAAATGGAGCACAACTTCTTCTTCTGACTGAACCATTTTCCTTTAAATCTTTACTAATGATGGAACTTTAATTTTGTTTGGAGTGAACTTGTGCTCAGAACAAAACAAAACAAATAAAAAACAAGCCAACAAACTCCGTTTCCTGAGATGCAAGCAAAAGTCTGCACGGCATTGTTGGGAAAGTTCTGTCATCTGAGGTGGTTTTCACCTCTGCTTCCTTGTTACAGCCTTCTGTCTACCTGAAATGTGAATGCAGTTCCTTGAGTTGTACAGCAGCCATAATGTGACCATGATAACAGAAGCAGTACAGTGGGGGAAAAATATAGAAGTTTAATCTTTTGTGACACTAGTGACACTAAGGAGCATGTATATCCATCCCAACTCCTCTAGATGTCTTGATTCGTTTCTTGGCAGTCAAA